GCTAGTAGAAGGAGTGTTTCCAGGATTACCTCTGTTTTCATGGCTGAAGCCACAGCAGCCGTACATGCAATTTCATTAGCAGCGGATATTGGTTTGTCCGAGATTGTCGTCGAAGGTGATTCCAAAATCATCATTGAAAAATTAAAATCAACAGAGGAAGATTCATCCGTCGTTAGTGCTTTAATCATGGAAGCAAAAGGCAGAGCAGAAAGTTTTCGTTCGTGTATATACCGAGTCGTTCCAAGAAGTGCAAACATGGCATCCCATATCCTAGCTACTGAGAAGTCGTTGGGTTTGACTGATCTGTTTTGGGTGGAAAAAGTTCCTTGGCGAGTGGAGTTACAAGCATCGGAGGATCGTCGCTGGTTAGACACCCTGATAAAGATATTGCCGTGCTGCATGGTGAGTTGCTAGGATCTATTTATGCATTTGTTCCTTTCTCGCAGATGAGCGATTCTCTCCAGACTTATCTGTTGTGAGCGGGAAGTCTGGAAGGTCATCATCTGTTCATTTAGTATAGACTTTAATTTAGTTTTATTATAAAGGTGTTTTATTTCCGATTACTGATGTCCAGCTGGTTTTGTTTTCTAGTGGTTAGCTTATGAGTTGTACCAGACATATCTTACTTCTAATAAATGGTTGGCATTTCAAATTCAAAAAAATATTAATTAGTATTATTATAAAATAATAATATTTATTATTATTTAAAAATATTTTTAATTTTTAAAAATATTTTATTTAGATATTACTATAAATATTATTATTATTATTATAAAATAATGATATGTTTTATTATTATTAAATATTTTATTTAATACTATATAAAAGTGTGAAAATAAAAGAATGAATATTAATAATTAAATGTTTCATTCACTCAATTAAAAATATTTTTTCTTTATCAATTAGAGGTGGTTCAAGTGATAAATAATTTAATATAGTTTAAGTATGTATTGAGTTCGAGTCCTTATTTTCGCGAAAAATTATTACTGAAAGACTTATTAAATCCATGTGTGCGATCTAGTTAGTCTAGATTAGTTAAGACAAAATCTTATAAATTGAGAGGGATTTTTTTTTCTTTTTAATAATAAAAAAATAAGCTTAGCATTTACCAGCCCGAAAATACAAGTAAGAATAGGACTGTAAATGAGATGATACAGATCGTGAGCTACTCGAGATCGACTCGGTCAAAGTTCGATAAATACTCGGATCGAATGAACTCGAGCTCGACTCTAATTCTTAACGAGCCAAAACGAGCTGCTTGATACTCGACTTGAAAAGCTCGTGAGCAGCTCGAAAATATAATATATTAAAATTTTATTTTTAAAAAATAAATTATTAATAATATTAACATTTATGTGTTGATTTTTTTTTAAATACAGTAAGACTTTTATGTATTTAAGATTCATGTTCGAGTTTAAGTTTCAGGCTTCAATGTAGTTAAGTTTAAGATTTTTTTTTCATTTTGAACCTTTTCGAACTGCTCACAAGCTTCAGTTCAAGATTTCGAGTTCGAGTCGAGATTAAAATTTTTTAAACTCTCAAGTTTTCGAATTAAACTCAACAATACTCGAACTCGATTGTTTACCCCTAATAAGAAAACGAGGAAAATTAATAACAATAATAATACTAATAAATAAATAAACAGAGAGCTCTCAATTCTCTCTAATGGCGTCGAAGACAACCACCGCTCGAGCCGTTATCTTCTCTCGCATCACCGCCCTGTCAGCGAAATATCGGCCACCTTCCTCTCTCGCTCTTTTACTCCCTAACCGCCGCAACCGCCCTTTGTCCGCCGTAATTGTCAACTGCTTAAACAGTGGCGGAGTTTACGACGACTACTTCGTATCAACGCAGAAATCTCATTTAGATCGTGGATTGCTAGTCATTTCTAATATGTTGAAGAACATCGAGCCTCTCGACAATTCCGTTGTTTCCAAGGGGGTTTCTGATTCCACCAATGAATCGATGACGGGGACTATCTCCACTATGCTAGGGATTCTTCCATCGGATCTGTTCTCCGTTTCGGTTTCCATCTCGAAACCTCCTCTCCATCGCCTCCTCTTCTCCTCTATCAGCACAGGGTAAAACTATTTTTTTTACCTCAAAAGAGTAAAATTCTTTATAATTTACTGCATTTTTATGAAAGAAAAAAAACTATTTTGTTCTTTAGCTACACGTTGTGGAACGCGGAGTATAGAGTTTCATTGACGAGGAATCTAGAAAGAGCAGCTCCAGTAGAGGATATGGCGGAGGAGACAGAGGGAGCTGTTAGCCGGCGGCAGGGAGAGTTGTTTGTGGAGAAACGGGAGGAGGGAGCGAGTCAAAGTGATGGATTTCAAGAATCCGAGAAGATAAGGCCGAGGATTTTCGGAGATTTATCACCAGAGGCTTTGAATTATACTGAGAAATTGCAGGCGGAGTTATCTGAAGCGGAGGAGGTAAGGATTTTAGATTTTATATGAATGAAATGATGTTTGATATGATTCTATGAACTATTTGTATGTCATTATTTCCTTGATTAATTGTAGATTTCTTGCTTCTAATAAAATAATATTGGGTATTTAAATTCTGGTTTGTTCATTGAGTTTGTAACGATTAGATTCCTTCATCCTGACTGTAGGCTGAGGCTGAAGCTACCATTAGACCTGAAAATTTGTCCTCACGGTTATGTTTCATTTTAGTTGTTTTTCTTATGTCATGTTTGTATTCTGTTTGATATTACATAGTCTGGCAACAATCATGTTTCCACAATCGATGTTATACCGCATATTTATTTCCTTGTTATATGTTAATAAAAACGTTTATATTGATCATTGTCATGCTGGTTTTCCAGTCCGACATAAGCTAACTGTTATTTAATGTTTATCAAGAAGAATCCGCCCTTCCTCCATTTGGTGGATCATGGTAACTAGTGATGTCGTGCTGGCTATTTATATTTATAATTGTTGTGTTTGTATTGTGTCTGATATTCTGAGGTCTATGACAATCATGTTTGCACAATCAATTTTACACTGCCCTTTTTCCCCCTTGCTATGTTCTAAGAAAAATGTTTATGTCAATCACTGTCATGCTGGTTTTCTGAAGTTTGACATAATCTAGCCGTTATTTAACGGTGATCGACAGGAATCCATTCTTCCTCCATTTGGTGCATTGTAACACATTGTCAATAGTTTGGTATATAAGTATATATACATGTCTGTTTGCCCAGAAGCACATTAATTCTTTATCTTGATATTTTTTCAATTTTCATAGTTGATAATGTAATCTTTCTTTTTGTATATTACCTCTATGTAAGCTAATGCTCAATCGTTTTATTTTGTTTCAGGAACTGAATGCACAAAAGAAAGAAAATGTGCAAATAGAATGTGAAAGGGAAAACAGGAATGATTTGTTAGAGTATTTAAGATCCTTGGATGGCAATATGGTAATGACTGAAAACATGTTTTTTATTAGATTATCTTGTTCTGAAATTGAATTATCTTTGTTTGATCCGACATGAATCTTGAAAATCTTCTCAGCGCATAAAATTTTTGTTGCCAGGTCACAGAATTATCCCGACCATCATCAGTACAAGTGGATGAAATAATCCACCAGCTTGTTTGAAACATATTGCAAAGGCTCTTTAAAAACGAGCTTATGACGGATTCATGGATAGCGAACAAAGGAAAACATCAAGATAGTTTTGATGAAAATTCTGGCACTGTTGGCACTTCCCGGGATTACCTATCTAAGCTGCTTTTCTGGTTCGTTATTTTTTACAATTTAGTTCTTAAAATTCGCTAACAGTGGGTGAATGTGGCTTCTATTGCACTCAAGATGGTGCTAAACGCCGCATGTATGCACTCCTCGATTGTGATGTATCCAATGTAGCATTATTGTTTTTGTTTTCCTCGTTTTATTCGTGTTTTCTGCATCGATATTTGCCTTACGATTCGTAACATTTAAGATTTTCTTTTTCTTCTGGCAGGTGTATGCTATTAGGTCATCATTTGAGAGGCTTGGAGAACAGATTGCATCTAAGTTGTGTTGTCGGATTATTATAGAGTAAGGTTTATGAAACTGTATATCCCTTTTTTTTAACATTATAGTTTTTGAATCCACATTCTTCTCCATGAAACTATTTATAAACTTATTTTATTTAAACTCTTTCAGTTTTTATATATATGTTTCTGACCCATATTCAAATATGGGTATATGAGTATAATCCTTTTAAGAACCTCTAAATATATGAAAAACTTATTAGAAAAAAATAAATATACATGTGCCGGACCCTCGCACAGTTTGGTTATTTTGAGGACTCAGATTCTTTGCCTACATAGAGAAGGCACCCTTGCTTGATTTATCCCCTCAATTCAAAGTTGTGTTATCTCAAACGTGGCGACTCCAAAACCAATTTATTTTTCCGAACCGAACTTTACCACCTAGATATTTAAAATAAATTGGATTGTTTTTAAAAGTTTAAGGACCGTTCTGACAATATTCTCTAGGAGGGGGATGTCGAAGGCAGGACTAGTGATTGGAGTGAAGTCGTAACAAGGTAGCCATATCGGAAGGTGTGGATGGGTCACCTCCTTTTCAGGGAGAGCTAATGCTTGTTGGGTATTTTGGTTTGACATGTTTCACACCCAAAAAGAAGCGAGTTACGTTTGAATTAAACTTGGAGATGAAAACCTACTTTCTTTTCTCGACGGTGAAGTAAGACCAAGCCCATGAGTTTATTATTTTAGGTCGAAACAAGTTGATAGGATCTCCTTTTACGCCCCTAGGCCCCTACCGTGTGGCGACATAGGTGCGTAAAAAGGAAAGAGAGGGTATTCTCATTAGAGTCAGTAAACTTAAAAGCCAAAAGTTGAATTGATTTAACTTCCTATCTAAAATTCATGAATTACTCAAAATTTGTAAAATTGATTTTGCATACAAAACAAAACTCTCTTGCTTCAATGAGCTGAAAAAAATATTCCAACAGCCTCTGGTGTCTATTTACAAAAAATAATCAAACAGACTAAAGAATACAATAGTGAGTGGAGGGATGAACAAATAAAACAATAAATCACAAAGAATCAAATCCAAATCTATCCAATGGTTGGTTTTGCTGGAATTTGTACAAATCATAAGGTGCCCACAACAAATCAACCGAGCAAGGTCTGTTTGCATCTAGCCTCACCCATGGCTTCCCTTTCCCACTCCAATGAAGCAAGCTTACTGGACCAGGGTGCAATGGCCTGCAACTGTTCACCAAATTATCACCACCAAGACCATGTTGGTTCCACCTATGATCGATGGCTTCAACATCTCCACCAAAAACCAACAAAAATGGTGGAAGAGAACCCAGTTCATAGATCCTTTTATCTTTCCGAATCCTCATCCATTTCTCAATCTCCCTTGTGTAGTCACCTCGTCTCCATTTTCCCAAATCCATAACCATCACACCTGTGTTGAAATAACAAGCTTTTTTGCCTTTAAAAACCTTGGCATATTCTTGGTTTGACCAGAAATCACTTGTGAAATACTTGGCAAAGTCTGCATTACAGTACTCTGGTGCTCCAATTATTCTTGAACCTATCAAATTTATGTTCCAGAGCTTTTGTATGTCTTCCACAACAATGGTGTCTGAATCTAAATAGATCACTCTTTCAACGCAGGTTTCAAGTATGTCAGCTAAGTAACTCCTTGCGTAATTCAAAGGGTTGTCGAGAGCTAGGCGGATTGAAGATGATATGAGATTCTTGACAAGTTTTTCATGGAAAACATAAACCTTGAAACTCAATGATGGAAATGCAGACTTCACAGTCCGAGTATACTGGTTTGCGTCGACAGAGCTCGAATCCGAGGCAATGAAATGCAAGAACACATTTTGTGGACATGAACCATGTTTGAGAACTGAATGGATTGCTGCAATGGTGCCTCGGAGGTACTCAGGATCAATTGTCATTGCAATATGAACAATGGAGGGGTCACATATCAAACTTTGGTCGGCCAAAACAGAACATTGAGGTCCATTTCGATACACTGGAGCCTCGATGAACAAATCTGATTCATCCCCAGCTTTAAACAACCTGATTGAATTTACAGGAAAAAGCAGTGAAGATAAGAAAATAACCCCCAAAACAGATCTTGATAGGAACATGATGATATTGATTGTTGAAATCCAGATATGAAAGCAAAAGAAGTACTGGAGAACAATGGCTCCAAATGAAACTGAAATGATATTTTTATATGAAAAGATGAAGATTTGAAGAGTCAATTTAGATTCAAGTGCAACGCGTAAATGAATGTGAATGAGAAGTTTCAATGGTTTGATTGAATCAATTATTATAATTGTTGGCTTCCAGGAACCTGCTTGTTACCGCCATTAACCAATAGAAAAACATGGGATGGGACCATGTGCTTTGAATTTATTATTATTTTCATTTGGTGCTTTCCTTCTGGGGTTTTAAAAATAAAGGGTGAATTCAGCTGAAGAAAGACCAAGTACCATGAACCAATTCAATGAAATGAGTGCTGGCTCGTGTTTAATGGTTGTGAACCCAACATTGACCTTATTGGTCAAAGGGTGTTCAACCTTCGAGTCGCCTGTTTGGCGTTTTCAATATTTACTTATGGGTTTGAGTTCTACTTCATGATCTCAGACCAAATGAAATGAGCGTTTTACCATACATTTCTCTATATCCACCAAATTTCTCCCTTCTTTTACGATTTATTAAGGTTGCTTTTTTAGAGAAAAAAATGGGTAAAGTACAAATATAGTCCCCCGACTATTGAGTGTTGTTTTGTTGAATCCTCCGACTAACAAAAGTTACAAAATGGTCCCTCAATTATAGTGCATTACTTTGTTGAGTCCTTGACTATTAAAAGTTACAAAATGATCATTCGACTATTCATATGTTCCAAATTCATCATTTTATGTTAAAATTAATGGCAGTTTGAGCTGGACGTTAGCCTGTTGACTGTGATGTAATAAAATTTGAAGCGAAACTCTAAAAAAACTATCATATCTCAGTCAATAGTCCAACTAAGACTGTCATTAATTTTTAATAGAAAATGACGAGTTTGAAACATATGAATAGTTAGAGGATCATTTTGTAACTTTTAATAGTCGGGAGACTCAACAAAATAATGTTCTATAGTCGGGAACCATTTGTAACTTTTAATAGTCGATATACCCAACAAAACAATATCTTATAATCGATGATCATTTATGTACTTTATCCAAAATAAATTAAAGGAGCCATTTGTTTTCAATAATTAAAACTAAAATGAAATATTTTCAGTTTTTATCCGAAATTAAGCACGGCTTTATACAAATCTTTCCAGGAAAACAGTTGGACAGCTATGAATGGCTGCAGGCTTTCATGTGTCCATTTTGGACTGCTGTATTTCCAACATTTCCTTTAAATTCATTTTGACCAATTCCCATGAAACCATGCATTCTTTTTTTAGTTGTCATTCCTTTCCTTTGATTATTCTAGACCTCAATCCTTCTCGAATCTTCTACATTCAGCCCCATTTTGATGGCTACCTACATAGTTTTTCATTTTTTGATGAAAAATAAAATAAAATAAAATTAAGGGTAAAATACACAAATGATCCCCTATCTATGAGATGTTGCTTTGTTAAGTCCATTAACCATTACAAATTATAAAATGATCCCCAACTATAAGGTATTACTTTGTTGACTCCTTCGACTATTAAAAGTTATAAAATGATCATTCGATTATTCATATTTTCAAACTCATCATTTTCCTTTAAAAGAATAGCAATTGTGTGAGCTAGAAGTTAACTTGTTGATTGGGATATGATAAAATCTAATCTTAGAACGGTTTCAGCTTGTATTTTGTGGATCGACTCTCCGTTTACATTTCGACGTCTAGCCAGTGTTTGAAACATTATATCATCGAGTCAGTGCTTGAAAGTAACGACAATGCCGGTAGATGTCATTAAAAATATTATTTTATCATATCACAATCAATAGGTTAACGTCCAGCTCAGACGGTCATCAATTTTTAACCAAAAAAGATGAGTTTGGAACACATGAATAGTCAGGGTGATCATTTGTAACTTTCAATAGTTGGAGGACTTGGCAAAACATCACCCAATAATCAAGGGACTATTTTGTAACTTTTAATAGTCAAAGAACTCAATAAAGAAATATCCTATAGTCGAGGATCATTTATAACTTTACCCTAAATTAGATGGATACCAAAATCTTTCATTCTTAGAAGTAACATAACCTACCGTTAGAAGAGTCCAGAAAAAGAAAAGAAAAGAGAAGAAAAGGTTGATTCATTGTATATAAAAAATTACATTATATTCTGCAATAGTCTAATACAGCAGAGCAGGCGAGAAGAGAAGGCCAATTCAAAATTTAATGCATCTACTCCATGTGTGCATATACCTTCCTGCTAGTCAAAAAATGGGATTTTTGCAGGCCTGTTATTTGGAATCGAGTGCAAATGTCGGATAAAGGCATATGTTTGGCACGATATGTTCTAAATTTTGGAGGTTATATTCTCCTACCATGTGTTGTACACTTGTACCAAACATAGCTACTTCAAAATAAATAAATAAAGAATCCAAGCAACATAGACTTCAAGGCTCCAAATTGAGCTTAAACACACTAAGGCTGGATTTCAACGAGTAAAACAATGAAGGCAGCTATATATGTTAATGTCATTACTTAAAAGCATTAAAACTCGACTAATCGGCTGTTACTTGGTTCGGTTTGGAAATATGGTTAGTATAATAACAAAAAAAACAAAGAAATATAGACAAGCTTCAACACACACTACAGGGAAATGCACTTTTAGTGACACTAAGACTAATCATTAAAAGTATCAAATTTAATCTCTGAATATCATAGTGATAAAATTTTGAGCCGTCACTAATAATTTCATCACAATTATATTAGTGACAACTTTAATGAAATTTTATCATAATTACTTATGTTTTTTGTGACTATGTTTTTTGACATAGAAAGATTAATAACAATGACAAAAATTTAGACACTAATATTATCTTTATTAGAGTCTGTTAGGATTCAATGAAGCTCAAATTGATCAACCGAATGATTTGCCAAGAGGGTTGAATTGGATTTTTGAGTTTAGGGAGTAAGGAGTATAAAGATGAAACAATTTGCACAAGGATTTATAGTGGTTTGATTTCTCAATAAGTCTACACCCACTACCTAAGCTCCTCACTTAGGATTTTCTAACAAATCCACTAATTTATTCTTTTTTTTTCAGGACAAAGAGATAACTTTTACAACTCCCTAGCTTTTCAAAGACAAGCTAGAACCAATCCCCTTTACAAAGGTTGAAAGAAGTAAACAAGGAAAACCTCTCAAAAGGAAGGTGTTTACAAAAATTAAGCTCACTAAAACACTAATATTTACAAGAGAAAGGAAAATAAGAAGGAAAAACTCTTCTCTTGTGTTTGATTACTTGGATAAGTGTTGTCCCACCTTCTTCAAGTGTCCTCAACTTGTTTTTATATTTTGAAATGAGTTTGTGGTTGTTTTTAGCTGTTAGAGATTAATTTTTTGCAAAATATAATTGCACAGAACAGGGAGTATAAGTACTCCTTTCATGAGTATCGATACTACCTTTATAATCTTTAAATAAAATAGCCATTGAAGATCATTAGGCTTGACCATTATCGATACTATGCTTATGGTATCGATACCACTGTGTAAAGTAGTATTGGTACCCCTTGAGTATCGTACCTATTTTGCATTATGGAATTTGAGCAATTTGGAAAACATCTGGTAGTATCGATACTACCTAAATAGTATCGATACTTCTCTTACCTTTGGTATCGGTACTGTTCATTTAGTATCAATAATGTAAGAACAGTATCGGTACTACATACCCATAAAATTGTTTTGTGCTCAAATTCTAGTTTAATGGACTTTGAATTATTTTTGAAAACTTTGAACAAAGTCAATCAAGTCCAAAAACATTTTCCATAATTTGTTATATCAAATATTATAAAACATAGTTCAATTGAGACATATTTTAACACAACTACATAATTACAATGATTAATTAAAAATTTATTACGAAATAATTATAGTAGATAATACATTTTTAAATGTATCAATCTTCTTTAGGAGTTTGCATTGCAATCATTGTCATTAGTTAGTTATTCGTTAACCATAGATGTAACATCCCATTCTTGTATTCGTCATAGAACACGAGTTAGAGATGTCACATGAAACTTACAAAACTTTCCTTATCGAAAACCAGAAAAAAATTGCTTCTTTAAAACTATTATTGCTTAACAATAAATCATAATACATTAAATTGTATAAAATACATTTTTAATTGTTCAACATTCAAATTATGTCCATTTTCAAGCATCAACCTAACAATTCATAACTACAAAGTGTAATCAATATAACTACCTAAAAATGACTTAAACTAAAATTCATTTGAATGTCGGTTTAATCTAATTTTACCATATTGTTAATCTACAATCCATTTTTTTAATACTAAACATATTTTAAAGACCACTTATCCAAGGTTCTAACCAATATCTATCATTACTAACATAAGCTAGCTTATAACTTATTACAACTATGTTGAAGCAAAGTTTATACCAAATACTAAAACACATGTATGCCAACTAGTAAAATCAAATAAAGCAAAGGGATGTCATTACTGATAATGTAGGCGTGTTTCTCGATAGATAAGATGCCAAACACTCCTAACTCCAATCTTTTCTCTTTACCTACGCATAAAAATCATCACACACTAAGTATACACTTACTGAGGCATAATCAATAATTTCAATAAAACATAATAATAATATGAAACATATAATAGGATAGTAAATGCACATATAAAACAAACTTATATCAAAGTCATTTCCAATTCATAGATACCTGAAATTATCAAGTTGGATATAAAGAATTTTATGCTAAATCAATTATAATCAATGAAACATTTAACTTTCACACTTATCTGTTACCACATGCACTTTTTGTTTTCCTTTATGTCATAGCCCAAAGTTCTTAAATGAGAATGCAAGGTATGTGAGTCAGTAAGATGCACTTTTAGTGTCAGTCAGTAGGATGTACTTTTAGTGCCAGTCAATGTACAAGATTCCATCCACGCTGTATCAATATACCAGTAATGAAGAATACCATAGTACCATCACCATTCTACTATGTTATTGTATT